TTATTTTTCTTATTTTAAATGTAAATTGTTATGTTGTATTGGCAACATGTCTCTTTTACCTTGTCAATTCAAGAAAAAATGCACTTATTTCAAGAAAAAGTGACTTATCTAGATTTTGATTTTTTCCGGTATGAAATGTACACTGGCTTATACCTCCGCTAAGACCGTATCATTTAGTTTATCTTAAAAAAAGTTGCACTAGGTGTTTAGTTACACTTTAAGTTTATTGAATAAACTCCTACATTAAATTGATTTGAATTAGGTTACAGATTGTAGAAATTATTACCACAACTGGGCTCCTTCTCTTCCTCCCTCGCTTTAAAAGAGAAAAACACATCTTTACACCTTTTCATGTACTTCAAAGTGACTTTACATGAGCTGTAAAGTGTAGTGGCTGTGATTTAAGTGATAGTTATAGTTTTACTGCTGAAAATATTGGCTCCCGACCTCTAAATCAATATCTGTAAGAATTAACAGTTCAGCCTCAGCAGCTGTTCTGTACGCAAGACATGGAGCCCAGCAGTGGAAATACACACAAGGAATTAATGTGTGAGAATGGTCTAGTCAAAGTCCAGGCCTAAATGTTGCTCAGAATCTGAGGCAAACCTTGCATTACTTGATTAATCATACAAAAAATGTCTTTCAGTTACCTGTGTCAATAGGTACTTAAACATCTGAGCGTACAAAAATGACGTGCGGAGTTCCCCAAGGCTCCATTCTGGGGCCTCTTCTGTTTAACATCTACATGCTTCCACTGGCTCAGATTATGGAAAACAACTAAATAAGTTACCATAGTTATGCGGACGACACTCAAATTTATATAACCTTATCTCCAGGGGACTATAGTCCATTACAAAAACTGACCAAGTGCATGGAACAAATTAATGGCAGGATGTGCCAGAACTTTCTGAAATTAAATGAGGGGAAAAACTGAGGTGGTTGTTTTTGGAGCAAAAGAGGAACGATTAAAAGTCTGCGCTCAGCTTCAAACTACAATGTTAAAAACAACAGACGAGGCCAGAAATCTTGGTGTAGTCATGAATTTTAACAGCCACATTAAGACAATTACAATTGTCACCTTTAGAATATATCAAGGGTTAAAGGACTTATGTGTCAACAGGACTTGGAAAAACTTGTCCATGCTTTCATCTTCAGTAGACTTGACTACTTGACTACTGTACTAACGGGGTCTTTACCGGTCTCCCTAAAAAAAAATCAATCAAGACAGCTGCAGCTGATTCAGAACGCTGCTGCTGGAGTCCTCACTAAGACCAAGAGACTGGATCACATCACTCCAGTTCTGAAGTCCTTACACTGGCTTCCTGTGTCTCAAAGAATTGATTTCAAAAGTACTTTTGCTAGTTTATAAATCACTAAACGGTTTAGGGCCAAAATACATTTCTGATCTGCTAGTACACTATGACCCCCCCCAGACCTCTAAGGTCATCTGGGACAGGTCTACTTTCTGTTCCTAGGTCAGAACTAAACAGGGGGAAGCAGCTTTCAGTTTCAATGGTCCTCACATGTGGAATAATCTCCCAGAAACCTGCAGGTCCACTGCTACTCTCAGTTATTTTCAATCAATGCTGAAGACCTTTCTTTTTGATGTTGCCTTTCTCTAAATGGCGTTCATTTATTTACTGTTTAATCTCTTGCACCTCTCGCTTCTGATCAAATAAGAAAGCAGAGTGAATGAAGAAGGTGAGAGCACAAACACCAGAGGCTGCAGCCACACGCTGTGCCTTATTTATGAA